TTTTTGGAGATAAATCTTTTTTGTGCATTATGCTTTTTACTATATAAAAAAGTGATTTTTAGCTAACTCTGTATAAATCTAATGATGTGCTTAGTATGAAAACAGTATTCTCCAAGTCTTGTTAACAATATACTCCAATATTATAAAAATCGGTGTATAAATGTGTACTCTGTCAAAGGTAAGATATACAAAAATAAAAAAAAAATAAGAATTTTCACAAAATTTCGAAAAAAGGAGCAGCTAGGATTTTGGTAAATATCATTTTAAAGTTACCAAAGGGTCCCGAACAAGAAACTGCAATCAATAAAAATCGGTGGACAAATGTGTACACTGGCAAAGGTAGACTTTGCGATAAACAAATAATTAAAAAATAACATGATTTTTTAAGAAATTTAAAAAAATCTCCAAAGAGTGCCGATCAAAAAACTTCAGCCAGTTTTTCTTTCAAAATTGAAAACTACTAAAAAGCCTAAATTAAACAACATTTTAAATATTCTCTAAGCGTTATTTTATTTAATTTTATTAAAAATCTATTTTTTATAAAAGGTTAATAAGAATGCCATTTTGTAACCTGATAAACGTAGAAATATCTAAAAAAAAATGGGGATAAATCTTTTTTGCGTGTTATGCCAAAATCATGAATTTACGCTTTTGCTTTATTAAAAATAAGCGATTTTTGGCTCACCCTGTATATATCAAATGATGTAAACAGTATTAATTAATTTTATAAATATCGGTGTACAAATGTGTACTCTGTCAAAGGAAGACTTTGAAATAAACAAAAATTTAAAAAAAATCATGAATTTTCAAAAAATTTCGAAAAGAGGAGCAGCTAGGATTTTGGTAAATATCATTTTTAAGTCACCAAAGGGTCCCGAACAAGAAACTGCAATCAGTTTTTGGCGGCATTTTTATGTGACTTAAACTTCGTTCAGACACACCGTGTGAAGGTAACTCCTTCCTTGGGCGGGCATTTTCGATTATCTTCGTTGGTTACCCCGATATTCAAACTGCAAATCTATTTCTGTTTGGCTGTGCATCTTATTTCAAGAGCGCGCGCAGTAACTGCGCACCACTGTTGTTAACTTGTCAGGCATACAGTGTTGCTAATATGTGTGGAATTTGAATAGTGTTGTTCACTTTTGCTATTGGGTAGGTACTGGGGCGGCCGATCATATTCGCCCAGGGTGGCGATTCTCGAGTTAAGAGAACGCTATTCTCTTAGGAGAAGTGGGCATTTCTCTCAAGTTTTGACAGGCTGCATTATTGAATTTAAGATAAGTTAGTGCGTTCTTCTCTCGGAAACTATTTTCTGCTTTAGGAGAACCAAACTATTGCATGATTTTAAGAATGCAGCCTGTCAAAACTTAAGTGAAACACGCCCACTTCTCATGAGAATAGCCCCCCAGGGCGCAAAATTTCTTAATACATCCCTGGGTTTACATGTAAACATACACATTAATCTACATTTTCATCCAATTTATTTGCTACTTTAAGTTCCATTACCAACTTGTTGTTCTTATAATGTCCGCCATGTTTACATAAAAACAAAAAAAATTACTAAAAATGCTACATTTTTTTGTCAGATATTCGTGTTTTACTCGTGATCCGCGGATTTATGGTTTTGTTGCTTGACTCCCTTGACTAAAAGTCTATACGTATTTTATGATAGTTGTATTTTACAAAATTAGTCTCTGATAATAATGCTGATATTTGTGAAATTTTTAAAAGGTACACCATTTTTTTATCCAAGCTTTTAAAATTTCTTAGTATTTACCATATTCCACCTGATATTTCCGCTGATGTTTATTTTACAAGTATTGTTATTCCACAAATGGTTTTTTAAGTAATTAATTTTAAATTGTTTCTAAAATTCGATTTTCGTTGTTACTAATCCCAATGTATTTAAAAAAATCGTTATTTTTAATAAGAGGTTATTTCATATGAAATTAAATTATTGTCAAGACATTTTTATGAGTTATTTATGATAATATTTTTATTTTTATATTTAATTGGTTTACTTTTACTGGTTGTATGAACTCTTATAAAAAAAATTATATATCATTCTAATCTGAAAAAGCGAATTTATATAAAAACATACATTATCTTGTAATGCATATGCCTATTTTTTAGTAGTATTGAATTTTTTTTTATCTATACAAAACTTCATTATAATATAAAATATATGTATGTTATGTATTATAATTACATTATATTTGCTCCTTATCGTTCGTATAGTGTATTTTAGAAATGTCATCTATTAAGAGATTTTTTTGTCAAAAACGATTTTGTTTAAGATAAAAATAGCATTTGGTTTTTATCTAAAAAAAAATTAAGCTTTTTATTAGGAAGGTCATTTAAAATTCAGAACCACATGAAACATTACAAAAATTGTATATTTATTTCTTTGCTCGCCAGGGTAAAGTTTTATCCACGGAATTTTTTGTTGTTCATTATGATATGAAAAATCAAAAGCAATAAATTTGGAAATTTAAAAATTTATATTTTAAAGTAAAACTTTGAGAAACTTATTTATTTTTAGTGGGTAGCAAACAAATTTAAAAATAACATTGAAATTTTTTTTGATCAGTTGACTGGTCAAATTGTTTTTGGTGCTTGTCATGTGTAGCTTTTTACGGTCGTGTCCAGCTGTTGTTTAACTAATAGTTATAACTGGTTAATTTTGTAACAAAACTGTGATTTATTTGTATTTTATAAACAATAAAATACATCCATAAAGTACGTCACACGTTTAGGGGTGTTAAAGATTTTGTGACATCGTGTGATTTAATAATGCTATTATGCGTGACATGGCGGGGTATGAAATACCCCAAAAAGGTGTGACGTACTTTATGCCCCTTACCGATTTTTTATTACAAAAGTATGTTCGGGTATTAAAAAAGATGTCCGGCTTTTAGGGCAAAATGTCTATCCGAATATAGCGATCGCAGAAATTTTACAGATTTCAATTGGATAAATTAATAATTATTATTATTATTATTATTACATTTTACTAATTAATTAAATACAATACAATACATTTTATTAGCAAAAACAAAAACAATTTTGTTTTTTAACTTTAAAGGAATAGTTAATTAATTAATTGTACCTGATTTAACGACAAGTGAAAATAAAAAAAATATATAAAAAATGCCTAAAACGACCCATTTTAATGTATTTTTACGTTAAATTGAAGACTAATTATTTACAATTTTTCAATAAAAATAAATTTAAAATTAACTAATAAGTTGGTGAATTCTCAATAGTTTTATCTTGCCTTCTTTTAACTTGTTTTATTAGGTCATAAAATAATTATAAGGCCCAGAAAAAATTTAATGAAGCTCAATTTATTAATAGCATTAATAATGGTTAATAATTTTTGGATATTTTGTTATAAAAAGTTGTCAACAAAATGTTTATAATTTATTGATGTTGCAATATACAGACTTCATTACTTCTTTATTTTTACCCCAAAATTTCCCAAAACTAATTATACCTACAACATTACCATTTTTTTACATAATTTGCTAAAACACTATTGGACCCCTTCCACTTAATTTTTTAATTTCCTGGAAATTCCAATATCGTTAAAATATAAATAATTTATCCTTATTGACCACGACTTTTTAGTTTGTGCAGCAAACACTTGAAAAACACAAAGCATAAATTGTATATTGGGTTAATAAAATTAAATCGGTCATTGAAACGAATACCTACTCCTTGTATTTTAAATTTGCAAGATCGGTAAATGTAATTTATTAACCTATTTGCCTCATGTAAAGGAAGTACAGGAGACTTACTTACGTAAATATTAATTAATTTATTAATTAACAATATGGTCATACTATTTTCATAGTTTCACTATATAGTCAAATATAGTCAAATATTTGACAAGGACTTTGTGTAATATTTTATTATGTTAAATAAAAAATGTTTTTTGGTTTTAGTATCCCAGTATGAACTGGGGCTTCTGAAGTCTGGCACAAACTTTTATTCGAACTAAAATTAATTAATCCAGAGAAAATCCCACAAGTTACAGATTAAACTACAATAATAAGGCTACATAATAATACAGTAAATTAAAACAAAAAATAAGTCACTCCGGAGGGACAAAAACCAAACGACTGGCGTCAAAAATTTTGGAATAAAGGTTAGAGACCATCTGCGATTTTTCTTAATTGTTTATTCTCACCAAAAAGTGATTCAATTTAAGGGGTGGTAATTTAAAGCGCGATTCTGTTGTTAATACAAAGTGAAGTTAAATTTTTTCAAAGTACAGTGATTATTATTATTTTTTATTTATCAAAAAACATAATTCTAACCAATGATATTTAATGGATTTATAAACAAAAATCTTTGTTCCAAATTATAATCGCCACCTAAACATTTAAATTTAACTAAACACCTAACAATAGGATTTACTTTAATCTAAATTTTTCACTCGAACGGAATATGCCGTATTCCAAACTTGTTAGAGAATATACTATTATTGCATTATTTTCGGAAAATAAGACAAAATTAGCGTTAACTAACAGATACATAACCAGAATTATTTGTATTCTATTATTAGTACCTGGAATAAAGTTTTTTTTGTCCAAGTTTTTAAAGTCTTAAATGTTTACCTTAATGGGCGATGTGCATTTTTCAATTTTTTTATCGATAAAGTAACTATCATTTAATTTAAGATTGAAACCTGCTTTTATTTGGCCCGTTTTACTATATTGTTTGAATTATTAGAACATTTATAATGGTTATTCCATCATATTTTTTTATATTTTCTTTTAGAACTGCCTCTAATTATAACAACCCATATCTTTTGAAATGGAATTGTTAAAAATCAATGTAATGATTTAACTCTCATTGTATAATTTTCAACTGTAAACTTCGCGCGGATCGTATGTTAATTTCTGAGTTCCTTTCCTAATTGCTATTGGTTGGACGCCAACTGAACCAACCAATAAAAGCAAAGTAGGTACCCGCGCCAAACGGGCTGACATGTGCTTGGGTATCACCGCGGAATTTTTTTAAAATTCCCTGCAGTACCTAGTCGCCACTGTGTTGAACAATACCTAGAATTAAAAGTTTAAAATTATAACTTAAAGAACGTTCTTATACAATTGTACAATCATGACTAAAAGTTACATAGAAATCAAAAAGGAAAGTTTGAGTGATGCAAAGAAAAATTTCAAATATGATCTCATTGAAGAGGTGGAATGTGGCAGAAGTTGTACCCCAAAATATAGGAAAAAGTTACTATTTAAGTAAGTCATTAGTTTTTAGGAAATTTTTTCATAGCCTGGTCAATTATTTATGGCATTTAAAATGAGCTAAAAGTAGATTACCTATGTATTATGTCACAAGAAATAAGTTGTTTTTTATTTTTCTATCTTTGCTTCAAGTACCTTTCTATCTGCCAATAAGCAGCCAAGTTTATTTTTGAGTCACAATCAGCCTTGTTCGTGAATCTAAGCTTTTTTTAACAAAGTTTACCACCAATGACATTTTGTTTACTTTTTTTCTTTTATCACACCAAAATAGTTTCTATTTTTAGAAATTGTATGCAAAATAAAAAGTCTTATGATGTTAATAGTATTTTTATAATGTGCCAATGTTTTGCCAATTTATGGTTTAATATTTTACGTATGAAGTTATTCAAACATTTTTTATAATAACATTGTTATGTATATTCCAAAATATTTAGTTCATAAAATAAAAACCAAAATATTTACCATAATTTAGCAAACCAAGTTATTATTATTTTTAAAGTATATATCTGAAATGCTTCTAAACATCTAATTTCTATGTTTACAGTACAACAATGGAATTTCCCATAAGTTATGGGCCATAACATTATAGAAACACAAATTTCGTTTTTAAAAACAATATTTTAATGAACTAAACCTTATATATTCGCGGCCAAATCTGCATGGGTGAACGTCATCAACTGCATATGACGTCAGCGTTAAGGTCTATTCATACGTGCCCAGACACAATCCAACGCTCGTGTATTGTTAACTGTTTATAGCGGTGGGGGCTGTTTATTAAGATGGAATTATAACATTATTGTTATATTCTTCTACACTAACTAATTAGGAGTTTGTTACAAATTTTGATAAAATGTGTTTAGAGGGGAAAAACGGAGTGTATTACATTTTTATTACAAATCTGTCCCACAGAGCCAAAGTAGGTCAAGTTCAAAAACCTGACTTTTGAAGGATAGATTTGAAACGCGGCATTTTTTTGCATTATTATTTAAAGCTAAGTTTTTATAGAACTTATGGAACAAAGTATTTTCTGTAGGTTTCATATTAAACAACAATGCAAAAAAATTTTCCAGGTTTTAGATCTTTAAACTGCTCGAAATCAGGTTGACGTTGCCAACAAGTAACATTGTTTGTTCAATCCAGTGGTAGAATATGATATAAACAATGTATAAATAATAGTATATTCTGTAACAAGTTTGTGTGAAGAGTTTGTCACACGAGCCGAAGGCGAGTTTGACGGTTTCACGAGAGCGAAATATGCAATTACAAACGTGTTTCAGACTATACTTTTTCTACGTTTCCGAAAAATACTATAGAAAAATAATTTAATTAGAAGAAAGTGAGGTTGGATCGGACTAAAATTTGTTAGATATTAAAAACAGAGATGTCGCCACGAATGTATAGTATATTCTGTCATCCGATGATAGAATATTTCATTCTGTAACACTTTACGGAATATATGTCATTCCATAGATAAAAGTGATATTAGAACGGTCAAATTCCGTTATTATTATATATTAAATTATTTATAATAATCTGCAACAAACGATGCTTATGGACGAAATGTCAAAATTACAAAAAAAACGTCAAATATAAAATGACGGTGAACCATCAATAATTTTAAACAGTGCGCGCCAACCTTAAGCTTTTAGCAACTGGCACACACAAATATTACTAAGTAATATTATATAATAATAATATTCATTGTATTACATTCATCTTAACTTTTTAATGTTAATGTTAACAAAATGTTAATTTGTGCTGCATAATTCCACCATTTGATTTTTAATTTTTGAGCTGAAATACACTGTCAAAAAATACATTTGTCAACTATATTTAAATTGTTTCAAAAAATGGTTTTCTACTTATGGTGTAGTGTCCATGTGAGAACTGGCAAATACCTCGTCACCGTGATTTTGTTTCAAGCGTGCTACACAACCAGGCACCGACAGGCAGCCTGTTTCGGTCCCATTAGACCTCATCAGTGCCGGATAGCAGTGGTGTATACTCCCGCTATGAAGTGTAGGCAGCACCGTTCTGCAACACCCATAGTTGGTCACGTCCGTTTGGAAAGTGGTGTCTGATTACATCTCACCGTTGTCGCTGCACTTGTTTGCCTATAGTTCTCATATTTGAATTGTTGCCCATAGCAACCGTTTTTAGATATTAGGGGTCGTCCATAAAATAAGTCACACATTTTTTGTGTGACCCCCTAAACATACTTTATGGATGACCCCTTAACCGTGTCAGTTTTTTTAACTTCTTGTCAAAAATTTTTAATTATATTAATAAGAAGTTATCATTAATAACGAACAATTAAATAAAATATATCGTTTCTTGACATTGATGCGTCATTTTTAGAACACCCTGTATATTAATCATGTTTTTTACTTTGGTAGGCAAAATAATTTATTTTTAAATCGCATTTAGTTTTATGAAAATATTAAGTAAATTTTAAAATTTACAGTTTATTTAATATTTTTACAAAATTTAATATTTGTTATTTGGATATACGAGTACTAACTTAAAGTGTATTCAAATCCAAGCTGGACTAAACAAAAACGCCCAGACGCATGATAACTTGTTCTTATTGGTCGATTCTGATGGTGTGACTCGGATTGTGAGTTCTTATTGGTCGATTCGGAGGATTGTGTTTACATTTAGTCCAGCTTGGATTTGAATAGACTTAAGTTATTATTATTTAATACATTAACATATAATTAGGCTTATTATACATAATATATTTTTTCTACTCACACCTTTAAAACGCTCATTATCGTACATGTTTCCATGACACTAAGTGACCTTTTAAATACACACTGACAAGTTGTGGCTTTATGGCGATTTAGTCCTAGGCTGAAGTTAGTTTTAAGTTATTTGACAGTTGTCAAATGTCATACAATCGTTAAAATAAAGTGGCTTCCTTGTAAAATAATACTAAATGTAAAAATTATTTTATTATTTCAATACAAAAATACAAAAGTATTAAATAGTTTCTCAACGCCAATATTTAAAAAGTTTATATGAACATTGTACTGACCTTTTAATTTTTCCGGCAGTAATTTATAACTTCGGGCTCGAACTCCACTGTGAAGTGCTCATAAAACATTTTCTTTACTTCCACTATGAAAAACTGTTGTAAACAATACATTTTGATTTATAACCTTTATAATCTGTGTTTATAACTAAAGCCCGGATTAAAAAGCTTAAAAAAACCTGAAGTATGCGCTTAAAAAGCAGTTAATTTTTTTGAAAAAAGGCATAAAATAAGCTTAAAAAATGCTAAAAAATCTTTAAGGCAGAAGAAGTGCTTAAAAATCAATAAAATGCATAAAAAATTAAACAAATTTATTCTTTATTAACATTTTAAATGTAAATAATTTCTATACGTTAAACATAAAAATAAGCATTAAAAAATTAAAATATACTAAATAAACAATTTTTTTTATAACAAAATAAAATATAAAAGTATATCCAAACATTAGTTTCTGTAGAAAGAAGCAATAACTAAATGCTATCACTTAAAATGTTTTTGTGAGCTGAAAAACTTCTCTCCACGTCAACACTTGTTATAGGCGCATGCTTAAATTTTGTCATAAGTGCTGGATGCATTTGTAAGTCCAAAACAATACTTCCTTCCAAAACCATAGCTATTGGTTTTAATTTTTGAAAGCCTTCATTTTTAGACAAGACATCCTTAAGCTTATTTTTTAATATTTGACCGGTTGGTCCAGGAATATTGTCAATGGCATCTTCGAAATTGTTAATAGTTTTGATAGATGAAACCAGTAACATTTGTTGTTTCTCAAGGAGCTTTATTGTCTTACTCACAAAACTTAGGTTACTTTTAATAAAGGCTAAGTTATTTTTTATTTTTTTTTCAATTAAAACGACTTGACAGTCTTTAATTGACTTACTTGCTGCCTCAGGCAGTTCGAATATAATTTTTTTGAAATTTTCAAAATTATCTGCATAATATAATGCAGCATCTAACCAAGTTCCCCATCTCGTCAAAACTGGTTCAGGTGGTAGTGGAGTATTAGGTAGTTGTTCTTTAAAGAGTTGCAGCCGCAAAGGAGCCTAAATGAAAACTTTTTTACCATTTTTTTATAAGTTCATTAACAAGAGGAAATTGTTGTCTTATGGTTTCAGCGACTCTATTTAACCCATGAGCTAGGCAAGTACAATGAATTAGATTGCCATAAAACACTTTTAAATTTGAGGCGGTTTTTACCATATAAGCTGCAGCTTCCGATAGCATAAGTAAAATGTTGTCACTGGGGACTGATTTTGGTAAGTAAAAGTTTATTAGTGCTGAGTCAAACCACGTCAAGTGGGACCAGAAAATTTCACGAAATCGCCGATTTTGAAAATAATCACATATTGTGTAGTAGGCATGACTCATATGTCACAGTAAAAAAATTGTTTTAAAATTCGTTTTTTTGGTAATGTTATTAAGGTTGACAATTTTGTCAAACTTTAGAGCACGGTAAAATTGAAAAAATAGAATCTCTGGGACCACTCTGTATAATTGAATTAAATTTTACACACTATTGTAGAAATGTTTAGAGTATATCATGATCATTTAATTAAGGTTAATTTGTTTAAATAAAAGAATTTTGCATACATTTATTATAAACAATTGAAATTTTGTATGTGTTCTTCACGCTGAAAAAAAATTAATCTTGTGTTATAATATGCGGCAAACGTTTCCGTTTAATAAGATGTATTCAAAAATTTGCCTTTCATATGTCATTCCGGAGATATTAATTTTTTTGTCCCGCTGTGCGCTTGATCAGTACGCGGCGCGCTTCGCTGCTAGCTCGTCAGCACACGGTGTGCCTGAACGAAGTTTAAGTCACATAAAAATTCCGCAGTTTCTTGTTCGGGACCCTGTGGTGACTTAAAAATGATATTTACCAAAATCCTAGCTGCTCCTCTTTTCGAAATTTTTTGAAAAATCTTTTTTATGCATTAAGCTTTTTACTATATAAAAA